TGTCCATTCTTATTTAACTCAACAGATTGTGTGAATTTTTTTCTTCTCCCAAAATGAATAGTAAAGATTCCAGATTGAAAAGGTCATAGGTGATAACCTCGGGACTAGAAACCGATGCTTTGAGAGTGGTCAGGCCCCTGAAAGCAGAGCTTCAGCTGGAGAAGGAGGCCCGGGGGGTCCTCGCCGGTGGGTGTGGCTCTGGAGGTGAGCCCACTGTTGTCAGGTCTCGCCGTTTTTCAAGAGAAGCTGGAACTCTGCAAATCTTATGTGACGTGCCCCAATTGAAGATTGGTATTGCTCGGCCAGTGTGGCTCAGTGGATTGAGTACATCCCATGGACTGAGAGGTCCCGGTTTGATTCCCAGTCAGGGCACATGCACAGGTAGGGGGTGTGCAGGAGGCAGCCGGTTGGTTTCTCTCTCTCTCTCAAAAATCAATAAAAAACATTAAGGTTGAATAATAAATGAATGAAATTTTGAATTCTCTTTAAATAAAAAGAATAAGAATTGATGAATGTTCACAAAGTTACAGAATGGACTTTGAAAGTCACTATCTATATTTTTTAGATAAAGATCTAGCTGCTCACTACAGATGTGACCTTGGACAAGTTATTAAGTCTCTTTGAATATCAGTTTCCTCTTTTTTAAAATGGGCATATCATCACAGAACTTACATGCATGTATACATGAACAGTGGACATGGACAACAAAGCTGGGGACAGGGCAGGGAGGGAGGGGGACGGGGATGGGGGAATCAGTGGGGGGAAAAGGAGAAACATCTGTAATAAAAATAAATTAATGAATTAATAAAAAATTAAATAAATAAATAAAATGGGCATATCACTAGCACCAATACCATAGGATTCTAAAGAGAATTAAATAAGATAATATAAATAAAACCAAACAGTTCTTGGCCCATGTAAGCTCTGAATAACTCAAGTACTGTCTGAGAGGGTAGAAAGGGTAATGGCTTTCACTTTTAATTACGAGTGTTAAGAGTCAGAAGGCACATTTTATGAATTCTCTGCAATTCATAGACTTTCTAAAAAATTATACCATGCTAATTAATTTTTTTTTCTATCTGGTAATCTCATTCTTTACCTCCCTGGAATGGTAGCTTTGTAACCCCACAGTGGGGCAGCTCAGGAACCGCTCTCCTTTCCTTGTCCTCCCTCTTTTCCTGCGCCCCGACGGATGCATGTGTCTCACTACGGAAAAGGCAGTGGCGGGGAGGCAGGCTTCTGCTCCCTGCACAGCCGCCCCAGCTGTGGCACTGCACAGTCACGTGACTAAGGGCCGTCTGCTCCCTGCACAGCTGCCCCAGCTGTGGCACTGCACAGTCACGTAACTAAGGGACTTCTGGGCCCTGCACAGCTGCCCCAGCTGTGGCGCTGCACAGTCACGTGACTAAGGGACGTCTGTGCTTTTGGTCTTCTGAATCTCCATGGAAAGGTACATTTTGAGGCCTAAAGATGAATAAATGAGATTGATTCGCCCTGGCCAGTTTGGCTGAGCAGTTGAGTGTCAACCTGCGGACCAGAGAGTCCCGGGTTCGGTTCCCGCTAGGGGAATGTACCACACACACCCCTACCCCCTTATATTCCGTTTTAAGTAAGTTGTGAAATCCTTTGTGCTTTTTAATCTGCTAGGATAGTAGATTTTTATAAGAAAGCTTTCGACTTGAAAATCATTGTTAACTTGCTGCTGCGCAGGGCAGTTGGCTTTGGGAAATTGCCCGATTAACTGGCTCTCAGTTTAGATCTTACTGTTCAAAAGCAGGTATTGTGACCTGCCACGGCTTGGTGGTCGTATTGTACTTTTAATTTGCGACTATTCACACAAGGTTTACCAGAAGTAGAATGTTTGTCTTCTCTGGGTGCATGCGATTGCAGCCATGTGCTGAAGCACCAGTCGGGAGAGTCCTCTAGTGCTTGCATCATGTTAATGCCACTGCCCGGCCTAGAGTGGTTGCTGATTTAGAACAGTGTTTCTCAGTCTTTTTCTCTTTAATACCCTCCTAAGAAGCCTTTTTAAACAATTGTTCCTAATTGGACTCCCACCTCTATAGAATTTGGATTTTGCAGATACACTGTATCTATTGTATGTCTGTGTGTCTGTGTCTTGTGCATAGAGAGCACAGTCTCTGTGTGCTCCCCCAGGGGACCGCCGTGTGTCCCTGTGGCGGCACCGCCCGCCTGGAGAGCGCGCGGAGCAAGCCGAGGCTCCTCCAAGCCTCCGCGCGGCCTTCCCGCGCTCTGACGCCATCGGGCCCGACGCGCTTCCAGCCGCGTGGGTCGGATCTAGCAGCACTTGTCACAGTGCAGATGGGAGCTGAGGAAAATTACAGACTATTTAATAATCAAAAAATCTTTATGAAAAATAACCATTCCTCCCACTCCTAAGTGGTTCAGTGAGGAAAGCGGCACTGTTGGTGTCTCTGCCGGCCTCTTGGAGGTCTGGCTCCGTCGCAGACACCATTCAGCCTGCTGCAGCGCTGCAGAGGAGCCCGTGTTGCGCCGTGGTCCTTGGAAGGGGGAGTGTGGCAAGAGCCTTCGGATAACAGAGGCTGTTCTTCTCTGGTGTGACACTCGAATAGTTTGTGGTTTCCGAAAGGGCTACATGCACTGTCCATTCTCAGACTCCATAAAAACTTTTTGTTCTGCTCGAAATTCATTGGTCTGTCTTTCCCTTTGAATAGGTCTTTTTATTCATGAATAATTTTGGACCCTGGTACATTGGTTACTTGAAAAATACTGGTTCCCTGACTTAACGCTGATCTTCCATCCGTTGATAATAGTACCAACTACTCACGTGCCATTAATATCACCACTGGTCTTAGCAGAAACTGTCTAAAAATTGGAGGTACTTGTCAAGATAATGTTCACTTAAATGTACTTGGCCATAAGTACTATTGGTTGTTTTTCTACAAGTGACAGGTTCACTTTGTTCATTTCTGAAAAAATGTCTGCCATATACTCAAATCTGAATAATGCCAGTTTGTCAGTCTTCCTTGAAATAAAAACATGTTCCATGAAGATGACTTGGTCAGCTTACAACTCGAACAGCTGCACAGGTGGGTTTTCTTCAGACAGGCGTCGCGTAGACGCGCTCTGAGTGCTGCCCGATCTGTCCCATGCAAGACGTGTGTGTCAGGGCTGTGACTTAAGAAAGCGAACTTTGTGTGAGTGTCGCGGTGCAGACTCCACTGGTGCTCCACCTGGTGCATCGCCCGGAGGGTCCTGGGCCAGGCGCCAGGCGTCCTGCCGACCGTTGCTTTCGTGCCATCACCACCGTGACAGGCAGTACAGCCTGGCATTAGTGTGGAAGCAGTTTGCCCGTCTCGGGGTCCGTGGTGCACACTTGGGCAGCCACTGCCACAGAGCCTGGACTTCAGAGCCAGACGGCCTGTGCTGAGGCCCAGTACCGCCACTTGCTGGCTGCATACGTGACCTTGAGCAACTGCCCTGCCCCCAGACCAGACAGACACTGCCCCTCAGGAGCACAGGCCCCAGTCAAGAGACGTTTGTCAGGAGCTCTTCTACCTCATCATCGTTACTTCTTTTAAAATCTGACATCTGTATTCACAGAACTGTAGGGGAGGGGAGCCCAAAGTAGTATATATATAGTTCAGAGTAGCAGAGATTGGATCCTGAAATGACTTGCCATCATGGAGTAAGAATGGTGTTTGTCAAAATCCCAGCCTGGCTGGTGTGGCTCAGTGGATTGAGCACTGTCCCATGGACCGAGAGGTCCCAGTTTGATTCCCAGTCAGGGCACATGCCTGGGTCACAGGCTCAATCCCTAGTAGGCGTGCAGGAGGCAGCCAATCGATGTATTGCTTTCACATCGATGTTCTTATCTCTTTCTTTCTCTCTTCTTCTCTAAAAAGTCAATTAACATTTTTTTAAAATCCCAAATTATTCTTAGGCTAAAGGTCTAGATATTCGCAACAGTATCACGACATTTCTTTTTAAAGGCACATAATAAGCTTGCTGCTTTGTTTTGTAATCCAGGCCAGTGCATGGTGGCTCCTGGTTCCGAAACCCCGTGAGATCCCCCCGCAGCCGTCTGCTCCGACGCACGGGGGGTCTGTTGATGGTGTGACTGCTTTCCCTCCTCGTCTGTCAGGTCAGGGCTGCAGTGGCAGAGCCTGCCCTCTGTTTGCCAAGATCCTTGAACATAGGCTCATCTTAAATGTGCATATACCTTTGTTCCATTTGGGAGCTCTTAAATAAGGGCCTGTTACCACCGTCTGTCATGTTCTTCATGCCAAAGGGCCACTTGCTGTATGAGAGAAACGGCACGTGGGATTCTTGCGTCTGCCCCAGTTGATGAGTGCCTTCGTGTGGTTCCCAAGCAGTTCCTCTGTCCTGAGCGTTTTTAATTTTTAAACACTTTAAGAAAAATGTGTTCCCCATGAGGCAAGTAGTATCTTCATTTAAGAGGATTTTAGCCCTGGCCGGTTTGGCTCAGCGGTTAGAGTGTCGGCCTGCGGTCCAGAGAGACGCGGGTTCGGTTCCCGCTGAGGGCACGTGCCTCGGTTGCAGTTTGTCCCTGGCCCTGGTCGGTCGTGAGGGTGGCAACCACTCGATGTGTCCCTTTCACATCGATGTTTCTCTCTCTCTCTCTGTTCCTCTCCCCCCCCCCCACTCTACATGAACAACAACAACAAAAAAAAAGTGGAAAAATGTCCTCGGGTGAGGATAAAAAAAAAAAAAGAGGATTTTAAAAGTACAGTACAGGAAAGTTTACCATTCGCTTTGCTATTCTTGATATGGCATTTTTCATCCTTTTTGATGATAATTTGATGCCCTTTATATCCTGATTGGCAACATTGTATGTACATTTCACACAGTGCTTGTTTTTTGTTTTTGTTTTTCTGATCATACCCTAATTATTCTGTTGAAGACCTCTATAGGGGAATGAGTAGTTCAAAGAGCACTCTTATTTAGAGAGGGGGGGGGAGAGACAGACAGACAGACATCTGTTGCTTCCTGTACAGGAATTGAACCCACAACCTAGGTATGTGCCCTGACCAGGAATCGAACCCGAGACCTTCTGGTGCACGGGACGACGCTCCAACCAACTGAGCCACACCGGCCAGGGCTCAAAGAGCCATCTTTTGCAGGACTTTTAAGGTGAATTGCGAAATTTCTTCTCAAAAAGATTGAACTAGTTTCTCATTTCAGCAGCATTCTGCCCATTTTTCCATATCTTTACCAGCATTGATAATATTAAATGTTTTTAAATTTTTTATTATTTAATTCTTACCAGAGGATATTTTTTCATTGATTTTCAGATAGAGTAGCGGGGAGCGGGGGGGCGTGGGGAGAGAGAGAAACATTGATGTGAGAGAGATACATCAGTTGGCTGCCTCCCGCACAACCCCGACCAGGGCCGGGGATCAAACTGCAGCCAGGGTACGTGCCCTTGACTGGAATCGAACCCATGACTCTTTGGTCCGCAGGCTGCTGCTCTAACCACAGACCCAAACCAGCCAGGGCTATTAAATGCTTTTTAAACATAAGAAATTATATAAGCTAAAACATGAACTTGGGCCAAAGTTTAAATATTTAGAGATTAATAATATAACATAGCAAAATTTACAATGTACTTTATTTCTTATTACTAGGAGTCCAAAGTGAACTAGACTTAAAGGGTTTTCCCTAACATCTGATCGTGTGGAATCTTCTAGAGAGAAACCTTTCTCTAGGAATTCTTCATATTCTCTCTGGACTGCCGGCCGACGCTCTAACCCTGAGCCAAACCGGCCGGGCTCTTCATACTCTCTAAGCTGGTACCGACCTGCTTGTGTAGAGTAGCTTAGCAATGAAAGTTGAGTTTGTATCCTTTTAATTTTTTTTTTTTTTTTTTTTTTGCCTTACATAGAGGGGTTCTGAGGGGAGTATATGTGGGTTTTTCTTTAGCATGCAAAGTAAATTTGGGTAATGTATGATTGCAGTGTGTTAATTGTTTGCTAAATCTTTGTAAATTTCAGGTGTGCAACAGAGGAACATGGCTCAAGAAACTAATCACAGCCAAGTGCCTATGCTGTGTTCCACTGGCTGCGGATTCTATGGGAACCCTCGCACGAATGGCATGTGCTCGGTGTGCTATAAAGAACACCTTCAACGGCAGAACAGCAGCAGTGGCAGAATAAGCCCACCTGGTAAGTAGTTCTGCCAAAACCAGTATTCGGAATTGAAATGCACTTGGATCAAGCAGTGTACCCAGTACCCTTTTCTGCTCTCACATTGTACTGATTTTACTGTGTTCATATCACTCAGATGTCTCAGTACATATCGTGGTTTTCAGTGGTAGGGAAACCGGAATACGAGTGTCCTTACCCACTGAAAATAACTACCTAGATCCATTCCGTAGTCTTGCTTGCTGTGCTACAGAACTCCATTATCTTACTGAAATAGAGGCGTACTTCAGGTATACATAGCTACCTTGGAAAGTAAGGTAAGGGAGTGAGGGCTACCAGAGGGCCTTGGTTCTTAGATCTTGGGTGACCTCTGAAGTCAAAACAGTTGCACGAGGAAAGATCACATGATGGAGAACCACAGCGGACCAGAGAAAGTCTGACTCCATTAGGAAGGAGAGGCGTGGCCGTGCGACTCTGAGTGAAGGGTGTCCCGCCCCACACACGAGTCCTCTGTGCCTTTTTGAGTCAGAGGTTCTCCTGGAGTTGAGGTGCGAGAAGGATCACGAGGGTTCCAAGCATCAACTTCACAAAAGCAAGGTGTTGCTGGTACTCGACCTAGGATGGTCCTTGTGTGGTTAATGCCTGAGCGTGTAGGTTTCTGTGCTTAGTGAACATGCAGGCTGGTGCTTAGCTCATTTGAAATTGTGTATGGAGTCGCTCTCGTCACTGCTTCATGATGAAGCCTGATGCTAACACCATTTATTCAGAACTCTCCTTTTTAAATTAATCCTCACTCGAGGATGTATTTCCACTGATTTTTTTTTTTTTTTTTAAGATAGTGATAGAGTGAAAGGGAAGGAGGGGGTGGAGAGAGAGAGGGAGACATCGATTGGTTGCCTCCAGAACAACCCTGATGACCAGGGCCGGGGATTGAACCTGTAACCTAGGTACGTGCCCTTGACTGGGAATAGAACCCATGACCCTTGGGTCAGCAGGCCAATGCTCTAAACTGCTGAGCCAAGCCAGCCAGGGCTCCAATTTTTCTTAAGGCTAAGATCAAGTCAATATAAAGTACTGTTTTTGTAATTAAATCATCATCTGTATTTCTGTCTCATGAAGAACAGGAAGAATAATGTAACCTAATAGGGTGAGCATATACTTTAATTCTGAACCTAGGTTTGCCTTACTACCAAATTATCTTTCATTGTAAATATCTCATTGCTGCACTGGGGCTTAGAAGGTGTTTGTCAGGTTCAGGGTCTAGTGATGTTTGGTCCTGAGAATAGGAGTTTAGTTTATTAATATAGACAGTGTGCGTATGGTTTCCCTCATGGTTAAAAATCAACATTTTTATTTAAAACTAGTATTGAAAAAATTTGAATTAAATCTAATGACCCAGCATATTCTATAGTAAAACAAAGTTCATGTGCTATATTTTCTGGAAAACTGATCTTGATTTTTTTAGATAAGGTGCTGAACTGCCCAGAGTGCACAGTCACTAATGTGAAATGTGGTGCCGTTACAGCGACTTCCGTCAGTAGTCTGTCCGACTCTTTACCAGTTCAGTGCACAGAGGGCAGCGTCCCAGAGGCTCCGTCAGCACTGGACTCCACATCCTCGTCTCTGCAGCCAAGGTGCGGTGTGTGCTGGATGGGGAGGGCACCTCGGAGAAGGGAGGCTGCTCCACAGGCGGTCGGGCCTGGGAAGGGCAGTCCAGGGGCTGACCTTGCGTCTGCTCGCTGTTGTTACTGACTAGTTAGGCAGGGCTCGTTTTGGTTTTGGTTTTTATATTGAGGTGGGGTCGGGGAGGTGGTCTTAAGTCCCAGGTTTCCTTTTTAGACAGCTTTTCCTTTACTCTTCCTGAGTCAGTTCTGACCCACCCCTAAGTCCCTTTGACGCATGCTAGTTCTTCTGACGATAGTCTAACTCCACAAGTATTAGTTTTCATATTTGTGAAATAGTCTTAACTCTCTCTGTTTATTCATGATGTGATACTCATATTTATTTGTATTGTAGTGTATTTGTTTTTTAAAAAAAACTTCAAAGTCACCTCATTTAGAAACCTGAGAATACAAAATATTTGTTTCATTTTTATTCTGTTAGGAACTCTGTAGTTTCTTTCTCCAGTTCGTGACAGGAGATGTTCAGTTCCATTTTGCCAGCACATCGTTTACAGCTTCGGATTAGGGTTTCTTACATGTGTCTTTATCAGGCTAGTTTTTGTTAAGTGAATTCACACACAGAGGACACACACTGCTGCTTTATTTCCAAAGCAGTAAACTTCTGGTCCAAATTAGTCTCCAGTTTCAAAGCTCTGTGGTTATGTTTAAGTTATAAAAAGTATTTTTGTATTAATTCTTGTCTTAATGATCTACTTAGATATGTTGAACTCTTCCTTATTATATTCCTTTAGTTACTATTCATACGTAGAGATGATATTTTAAAATCTGAATATTTTTGCTTTTCTAGTCCTGTTTCAAATCAGTCACTTTTATCAGAATCTGTAGCACCCTCCCAAGTGGACAGTACACCTGTGGACAAAGCAACACCTGAAACAGAAGACCTGCAAGGTTTGCATATGAACAGCCTCTGTCTTGTCACTACTTAACCTTTGAATAGTGCAGGTCAGGCACGGTCCTAGTGCACGTGTTCCTTAAGTCACCTGCCTGAAATGCATACTTTTGTGTTTCTTTTCTTTACAAGCAGAATGTTATATTCTCAAGTGTTTAATTGAGTGAAACATGGGGAACCATTTCCATTTCCCTCTTAGGTGTGATTATGTCATCAGCATAAACTTCGGTGCTTCAAATTTTATTTAGTTTCAGAAATAGGTTCAAATGAATGCGGGTAGTGGTATATTATCATTTGCTAGTATTTCAGCCAGTTTAATCTAAATCTTTGTCCTCTTCAAGCAAACTGGGGCTGCTGGTTTGAGAAGAGTCTTGTTTCTGACTCAGATTTTCTAAGAGACTATCTAACTTGACTGGGAGTCACGCTCTGTCCCCTTCTGTGCTCAACACGAAGTCAGTGGGGAGATGGGATTCGGGGGACGGGCAGTGGGGGCAGCAGGCCCGAGCGGCCCCTTCAGGCAGGTGTGCCGGAACCAAGCTGGGCCGGCCCTTTAGGGCCCGGTTACGGAAAAGCCTAATGCTGCCTGGTTCTTTCTTTTTCAGTCCTCACCTGAGGGCACTTTTTGCATTTATCTTCAGATAGAGCGGGAGGGGGGGGAGAGAGAGAGAGAGAAACGGCGAGTGGCTGCCACCCACACAGCCCAACTGGGGCCCCGGGGACAAGCTGCAACCGAGGTACGTGCCCTTAGCGGGAACCGAACCTGGGACTCTGGTCCGCGGGCTGACGCCCTAACCACTGAGCAAACTGTCCAGGGTGCTACTTGGTTTTTTCTAATCGATGGTCAGGGAAGAGAGCTGTTTTGAAGCTTGTTTTTTCGTTTAAGACAATGTCACGCTTTAAGAAGATTCATTTAACAGTTTCAGCCCCCAGATGGCTGCTGATAGGAACTGACCTCATCTGTGAGCTGCTCAGTCCAGGACGGCGGCCCAGCCTCACGGGCTGTCGCGCTTTCGCAATGGGGCTAATCTGAAATGAGATACTTATTTAGTACGTATGTATTTGCTAGTGACACTGTGAGTTTAATATAGGCGCTGGGTTTTAAAGATTTAGCACACAAAAAAATATGAAGTATTTTGTTAATACATTTCATATTGATTACATTTTTAAATAATACATATTTTTTTTAATGTTTTTATTGATTGTCTTAGAGAGAGGAAGGGAGAGAGAGAAAGAAACATAGATGAGACAGAGAGTATCGATCAGCTGCCTCCTGCATGCCCTTCACTGAGGATCAAGCCTGAAACCTGGGCATGTGCCCTGACTGGGAATTGAACCAGGACCTCTCAGTCCATGAGACAACACTCAATCCACTGAGCCACCTCGGCCAGGCTGATTTTTAGTTTTTTTGTTTTGTTTTTTTTAATCCTCACCCGAGGACATTTTTCCATTTTTTGTACAGATAGAGTGGGAGGGAGAGAGAGGAAGAGATAGAGAGAGAGAAACATCGATGTGAAGGAACACATCGAGTGGCTGCCACCTGCACGACCAACCAGGGCCGGGGCCAAACTGCAACCGAAGTACGTGCCCCTAGCGGGAACCGAACCCGGGTCTCTCCGGACCGCAGGCCGACGCTCTAACCGCTGAGCCAAACCGGCCAGGGCTGATTTTTAGTTTTTAACGTGGCTGCTAGAAAATAGAAAATTAAAAATGTGACTCTGTTATTTCTTTTGGACCCTGATACCATACAAGCATACTTTTATCTTAAATATTTAAAATCTTCTCATTTTGTAAAGCATTTTTGAAGTAGGAGTAAATGAAAGATTGTTTGGTCTATCCCCTCGTGTTGCATGTAAGAAAGGGCAGTCCAGAGAAGGGACATGGTGCTGCCCCAGGGGTGCTGACAGAGGGGCTTGCGCAGCCAGTGTCTGTGGGCAGTCCAGAGAGGGGACAGGGTGCTGCCCCAGGGGTGCTGACAGAGGAGCTTGTGCAGCCAGTGTCTGTGGACAGTCCAGAGAGGGGACATGGTGCTGCCCCAGGGGTGCTGACAGAGGAGCTTGGGCAGCCAGTGTCTGTGGGCAGTCCAGAGAAGGGACATGGTGCTGCCCCAGGGGTGCTGACAGAGGGGCTTGCGCAGCCAGTGTCTGTGGGCAGTCCAGAGAAGGGACATGGTGCTGCCCCAGGGGTGCTGACAGAGGGGCTTGCGCAGCTAGTGCCTGTTGAGCAGCTGCTCTGGGTCGGCTGGGTGGCCGGTCTGAGCAGCACAGGCCCCGCCCACAGTGCTCAGTTCCATCCTCCTGAGGAGGCTCATCAGGCGCCTGGAGGACGCAGACATTGTATCTACTGTGCGTGATGTTTGCAGTAGCTACTGATGGCATCTGTTCAGCTTCATTTAGCATCGTGTGCGTGAGTGTGCCCCAGAGCTGTGCTAAGTGTTGTGTTGCTCGTTGTCACATCTGTGTACTTCTCCCCTCCTCCCCAGCAGAGGGCCTTGTTCCTCTTGATTGTGGTCCTCCGTATGGGTTGTTAAACTTATTTTCCCTGCCTGGTGCTTTTTGAAGTACATTGGAAGTATTGGCCAGTAGACTTTGTCTAGTTGAGATTCCCATTAAAAATTAAATTAGCAAGTGCAGTTTGTTTCGCAAACGTGATGTCCTTGCAGAGGCCTCCCAAATGGACCTTTAGGACCTGTGGCTGCTACACAGGCAGCGCCCTTGTTGATCATTAACAAGCAGGTGAGCTCCTCCCAGTGCTCACTCCAGGGTATGAAGAACTGCCTGTTCCGAGGCACTGCGCTTGTTTGGGCTTCAGGTTCGATAAGAGGGTGGTCCTTTGGCTTTTCGTCCACGGTTTGGCTCCTCTAAGGGGTTGAATTGTTCATTTTACGAAACATAGGTCAGGCATGCTCTGGTCTTAAATCTCACGTAGAAACTGAGGAACAGGGTAATTTCTGGGAATCAGAGCTCTCAGAGTGCTCTGTCATCTTGCCCACGCATTCATTTGGTGACTGTTTCAGTGCAGGCCACCAGCCACTAGTGTCTGATGAGCTGCAGTTCCTTTAGTCTTGTGAGGATACGGTGGACGTCAGTCGGCCTCACACTGGAGCCCTAGCTTTCAAGCGTTTAGATGGCCTACTGATCTAGAACTTGAAAGGTTGTGCCCTACCTCAGTTAAAGAGAAACCACTTAAATCTCTAGGATTAGCCCTGTGAAATGCCTCCGTATGCCCAGCAGATAGCTGTGTCTTCTTACTTCTCCATTTCCAGGCACCGTTCAAAGTTTGTGTCTCAGTAGACAAACCCATTCTGTTAAAAATGTGATCTGGCCCTGGCTGGCTTGGCTCAGCGGTTAGAGCGTCAGCCTGCGGACCAGAGAGTCCCAGGTTCGGTTCCCGCTAAGGGCATGTACCTTGGTTGCAGTTTGTCCCCGTCCCCGTTGGGGTCATGTGGGTGGCAACCAGTCAGTGTCTCTCTCTCATGTTGATATTTCTCCTCTGTCTCTTTCCCCCTCTCTCCCTCCTTCTCTATCCGAAGATAAATGCAAATATGTCCTCGGGTGAGGATAAAAGAATAAAAAATAAAAACGTGATCTGCGGTACTGGTGGTACTGCCCTTAATGCATTATTTATATTCATGTATTTGAGTGTGATTGGCACAAGTTAGATGTTATGGCTCACAGCTTTCAAAGACAATACATATAACAGATTCTGTTCAGGTTGCAAGTAAAAACTTTTCTGAGCTCTTTGCACAGAGCCCAACCTTACCTGGAACTTTTTGGGCTGAGGGTACGACCGCAGACAAGACCTGCAGCCCCGTCCCTGTGGAGCTGACAGTCAGGGATGCTTGGCTGGTGGAAGTGCAGGGTTTTACGTGTCTCTCTCCTGTTTCGAAATTAAAACGTCTAGATTTGTAGAACTCTCTCTCGTCCAGCTTCTGAATTGTCTAGGTGCAGTGCTCACACTGTCGAGTTCTCTGTTCGTGCAGCTCACCTGTTCGTGGGGCTTTGCCCTTCATCACATTGTGGTAAAATAATGAGATGATGGGTTAATGTGAGCAGGTTAGAATTTATTACATCAAGTGTTTGAGCAGCTACTATGTGTAGTTCACTGTGGTGGGTGCTAGAGATTCAAATGGAATAAGATACTGCTCCTCTTTTCAGTGGGCTCACGCCGCAGATGGGGAAATGGTCCCGTAGATGCAGTGGGTACGGCGTCCAGTCAGTCAGTTCGGCAGGTGTTGCCGAGTGCCTGCCGCGTGGTGGAAGCCCCAAAGACAGGATGAAAGAATGGGCTCTTGCCCTGGCAGAGGTCACATCAGGCCATGTAATGTCAGATAGGCAGTTATAGCAGTGGGGGAAGTACTACTGGGGTGCACAGTGGGGTTTCCTAGTCTAAGTTGTGGGGAGGGACAGAGTAAGAGTTGACAGCTTAAACAAGACAAGCACATCAGAGTTAGCCAGGGAGAGAAAAGGACAAGGGTGTGGAAGAAGTGTCCCATAGGAAGGACAGCTTTACAGAGACCCAGAGATAGGAGAGAATCCAGCATGTTCGGGGAAATGGCAGTCAGTGTCCTTCAGCATGGCTGGAGCATGGCACATCGAGGAGGAAAGATGCAGGATGAGGCTGGAAGAAGAAGGATGAGAAAAATCCTGAAGAGCCTAGGCATCCGCCTGGGGCTGTGGGAAGTCAGAGAATGTGCACATTGGAGGGCATGTGGTCAGACTGCGACTTCAGGCAGACGGCTGGATGCAGCGTGTGAAGTATGGGTGGAAGGAGGGGCTCATGTGCATTGCCCAGGGTTGGGTGGGGGCTGTTAAGGGTAATCAGAGGGAAAGTCGCAGAGAACTGAGTCGGGGGTTTCCTGGGGGGCCCATGCTTGAGCTCAACCTTAGGAACAAGAAGACAGCCTTGGCCGGGAAGCTCAGTTGGTTAGAGCGTCGTCCTGATACCAAGGTTGGGGGGTTCGGTTCCCAGTCAGGGCACGTACAAGAGTCAACCAATGAATGCATAAGTAAGTGGAGAAAGGGGGCCTCTAGTACACTGCTGGTGGGAATGGTGCAGCCACTACGGAAACCAATAGGGTGTTTCCTCAAAAAATTAAAAATTGAACTGTTATTTGATCCAGTGATTCCACTTCTAGGAATATATACTAAGAAGCCTGATACATCAGTCAGGAAGACTATATGCACTCTTATGTTCATAGCAGCACTATGTACAATAGCTAAGATCTGGAAACAGCCCAAATGTTCATCAGTAGACGAATGGATAAAACAGCTGTGGTACATGTACACAATGGAGTACTATGCAGCTGTAAGAAAGAAAGATCTCATATCCTTTGAGACAACGTGGAAGGACCTGGAGAGTATTATGCTAAGCGAAAGAAGTCAATCAGAGAAAGACAAATACCACGTGATCTCACTTATTTGTGGAATATAATGAACAAAAAAAGCTGACGAACAAAACAGACCCAGAGACATAGAAAGGAGTATGGTTCAGATGGACAAACCTCAGAGGAGAGGGGCGGGGGAAGGGGTGAGATAAACCAAAGGATTTACAAGCATGTGTTCGAAATCAGTAGACATGGACAACAATGCTTGGGGGGGGGGGGGGAGAAACATCTGTAACAAAAATAAATTTTAAAAAAAGTGGAACAGCAAATCCGTGGTTCTCGCTCGCTCTCTCTAACTCCCCTCTCCTTCCCTTATTCCCTCCCCCACCCTTTCCCTTCTTTTCTCTCTTTAAAATCAATAAATAAAATTTAAAAAGAAAATGACAACCTAGATGAAATGAGGGTTTTATGTGAAACATTCCAAAAATTTTAAGCATGCTTAGTATTCCACTGAGTGTTGGTGTTAGCCTGTTTTCCCCCTGAGAAATCTACATGGCTCTGACCCCAGCTGTATTTAGAAGTTTTCATATGGCCATTTTCTTAACACTTGCATAGGATACCCAGGTAGTGTTCGGATGTGTGTAAGTACACAATTATTACGAAACTCAGAAAATACAACACTTTCTAGAGTCACTGTGAACATGTCAGTATAATATTCTGCATGTATGTACATACATTACATACATACCAACATACATTTAACAAAAAAGGTCACATTATATAAGCTACTTTGTAACTTAATGTGAGTGTTTTTTCATAAATAAATTTCTCAGTGATCCTCTGAGTAAACAGGCCCGTGGGGGTGGGGACAACCACCCCCCAGATGTCACCTACTGCACGACTGAATGGTACCACCTTCCTGTCTCTCAGCTTCAGTGTCCGGTACCGCACAGCAGCCATCTGAAGAGCAAAGCAAGTCTCCTGAAAAACCAAAACAGAAAAAGAACCGCTGTTTCATGTGCAGGAAGAAAGTGGGACTTACTGGTAAGGGTTCAAATCAAATAGTTCCAACCTGAGCCTGATTTCAAAATATGCCCGGCTTGCTAGAACTGGCTTCAGGTGAGCGTGTTTCTGTTCCCATGAGACGTGCTCAGCTCCACAGTCTTCTTCAGGAACTAAAAGTAGATTTAATAATATGCCTTAAAGTGAGATGAATAGTTTTCTTTTAAAAAGAATTGTTCATCTGAGTTGGAGAGTGTTGGACGAGTCAGGTCATGTGCCAGCTGCTGTGCAAGGGCAGAGGTGTGCTCCCGCCTCACGGAGCCGGAAGTTGTGTCTGAGAGAACCTTACGCCCTGGCGAGCTGCGAGGCTCTTTGCGTGCAGGGCTCGTCACAGGTGGCCGTGAGGTTCCCTGAGTTAGTGCACACACGGCGAGTGTTCCCACGCTGCCACGCCGCGACCAACCGGTACCGGCTGACTACTGTGACGGGTGGCGTTGTTCATCCGTTGGAAAGTGGACGGAAAGGGTTCAGGATGCTACTTGGGTGTTTAGCAAAGAAAGCACACTAAGTGCAATCAGATTGATTGGTTTGGGAATTTGTGGGTGGGAGTGATTCGTTTACATAAAAGGAATAGAGGCCCACAAAGGCAGAGTGTTTTAGCTGGGATTTGAAAGATGAGCAGGACTTGCAACGGATAGAAAAGGGCATTTCAGCCTGAATAGCGTGAAGGAAAACTCAGAAGGGAAACAACGGAGCACGTTGGGGGACCAGGAATGGGGAAGACTGCTGCGGGCACGGAGTACGTGAGGGTCAGACAGAAGCAGACATCAGGCTAATGCTGTGGATGGGGGTGAATTTGGGAGGAGCGGTTGAGCTGTACTAGTGACCGTTTATTGTCTACGATGTGGCAGGCATTGAGCTGAGAGAAGAGTACATAAGATACTGAGTAAATTATATTTTGGGAAGGTTTCTCCTGGCTAAGTAACAGGTTGGAAGTAAAGAGGAAAGGAGGTTTCAGTTGTTGTCAGAGATGTTTAAGACTGGCCCATCCAAACATGAACAGATGAGACATTGGAAAATACATATATTTAGTATCAACAACAGCCTTTCTAAAAATCAGAAACCGAGACTTTATGATTGGAGGGCTGAGAATTAATATTCTTGTCCAGTCCGTCAGTCTGGGGTTATTGTTGGCTTCACTTTTCATTCGTTATTAGGAAGTTACAGAATGTGTACTGAAGGTTACAAAAATGTGGTAAAGGAAGTTTACATCAAATGTCAGTGTTTAAAATACTTATTTTCCTGTTTTCATTTCCAGTAATTCTGCCACACCATAAAATCCTCATTTTGGGGGGCTGGACCGGTTTTGTGTAAAGACTGTCCACCCTCCTTAGGTTTCTGTTGGCTTCAACTCTGGACACTTTCCTGAACTAAATAGCATCTGTTGCATGTTTACTAGTTGTTAAGCACTTAATGCATTCCTCATTTAATCCTTACTGTAACTTATTATTCCACAATTACAGATGCAGAAACTGAGGCTCAGAGAGGCTAATTTGCCTACGTTAGTAAGTAGATTCATGCTCAGGCAACCTCTAACTCTAGCCCCTGTGGTCTCGATCACTCAGCAGAGTGCAGTCCACCTTTCCATGGAGGTTGGCCAGGGGAACGCAGCTGGGGTGGGTGCTGCGTTGCTTGTTGGCAGTTCTGTCAAAGGGGTCATTTCATCTTTCTTAGTTTAACTTTAAGATTGCTTTCTGACAGTATGCCTCCTTTCACATTGTAGTGTTTAGATTTGAGAACTGTTTCACATTTTCAATTTAGTGATCTGTTTTTGATAGGCAGTATTGTGGCCATGTCACACATCAGGAAACTAGCTCGGAGAAGTGGTTATGACTGTCAGCTAGTGAATTTTGAGGATGTTCTTGGGTTGTGAAACTGCTTGTTTATAATGATGGTTTAGATTGTTGCCCTAAATACATGGTCTATTTAACATTAGTTATGCTAAGGCACTAATATCTCGACCTTGCATCCAACTCAGGTATATGTATTAATCCACTTCCAGGGTTTGAATGCCGGTGTGGAAATGTTTACTGTGGTGTACACCGTTACTCAGATGTACACAATTGCTCTTACAATTACAAAGCTGATGCTGCTGAGAAAATCAGAAAAGAAAATCCAGTAGTTGTTGGCGAAAAGATCCAGAAGATTTGAACTCCTGCTGGAATACAAAATCCTTGACCACCTGCAAACTAAACATTGACTTGAGGTTTTTTTCCTAGTCATTGGGAATGTAGAGCATTGTATCTCGCATAGACCTTTTGATCATGCATGTCATCAGAAGAATAGATTTTGTTTTTGTTTTGAAAATGACTCTGAACATTTATTTCCATTGCAGTTTCTGTGGCTGAAAAGACTTAAGTAAACTTGACAAGTATTATCCTTCTAAGATCATTTTTAATTTTAGTTGAGTGCAGAGAGCTTTTATAACAAACGTGGAGAAATTTTGGAGGGCTGTGATTTTTTTTTTCCCCAGTATTAAACATGCATGCGTTAATCTTGCGGTTTATTTTCTCATTGTGTATGTATATATAGCTTTTCTCTGCAGCACGATTTCTCTTTTGATAATGCCCACTAGGGCACAGCTTGTTATCAGTAACTGAATGTATCTTAATCATTATGGCTGCTTCTGTTTTTTCATTAACAAAGGTTATACATATGTTAGCATATAGTTTCTTTGCACCCACTATTTATGTCTGAATCATTTGTCACAGGAGAGAGTGTGCTGATGAGATTCTAAGTTTGCGTGTTTTAAATTTTTTTTTTTTTTTTTTTTTTTTGAGCGAGGGAAGGAAAAACTGTATGCATTTCATTGGTGACTGCAGGTTTCTTTCAGATTACGTTCATCCGTCTGTGTGTACACAATATGAAGAATGATCTGAAGTAATTGTGCTGTATTTATGTTTATCCACAAGTCTTTGATTAAATAAAAAGGAAAACCCTAACGTTCCCGTGTGTATTGCCTTTTCTCTGTTATTCTTCTGGTAGTTCGTTTTGGCTCCTCGTCCTGTAGCTTTCTACTTCACCAGCTTTGTAAGGGTGTTCCTGCCGTTCATCTCGCATCTGTCTATGGCTAATCTTACGATGATATATTGTGATCTCACATTTCTGTGAGTTGAAGATGTCAGCGTTTCTTTAAAGCCAAGAACTTTCATCATTTTAATGTCGTACTTTCTAGCTCTTGTCTGACTCTCTGTTCTGCGCTTTGTCACACTGAGTTAGTGTCTAGGAGAAGCTGCCTTTTCTGGTGGCATTAGAGAAACTGAAAGCTCGGTTCTTACGGAGCATTTGGAGAATTGTAGAGTAGAAAGACCCTCAAAGGGCCATTTGTCCCATGGTTTCCAAATTCATCTGGCAGCCAGCCTTTTTTTTTTTTTATCCTCACCCGAGGACATTTTTTGTTCAGATAGAGTGGGAGGGACAGAGAGGAAGAGAGAGAGAAACATCGACGTGAAAGTGGCAGCCAGCCTTTTTAAAACGTGAAATAGTGTGTAAAGCAGATGGCAGCAGTATTTCAGTTTGTATACTTACTACTCACATGTTCCATCTTAGTATGCAATGGTGGCTTAGCACTAAAATCTATAGCTGTAATCTGTCACAACAGCATTAAAATAAGAGAAAATCATTAGGGATGTCTGCAGATTCACATAAAGAATTAGAATTTAGCAGACATTCATGGTTTTTAAAGACTCATGATCAATTAGCACTAGAAAGGAATTTCCTTAAGCTGAGGCAAGCACCTTCTAAAAAGAGGAAACTCTTATCCCCTTTTAAAGTCGGAAACAAAGGGCTGCCCGCTCTCACTGAGCGTATTCGCAATTATCCGATCCTGAGCCCTCTGCTGCTGCATTAGCTCACAGTCCGGCACCGCAGCCGCCTCCGCCTCCGCCTCCCGGGAAAGCAGGAGACGGGTTTAGGGAAAGACTGAGAAATGGCCTCTAGGTGAAGTTCACAAAGGTGGGGAAATCCTGGGCTTGCAAAGGGAATGAACAAATAACGGAAATGTGAAGACTGTAGGTTGGTGGGATTATGGGCAATATATTTTTCTTCAAGTTATGTTTTTATTATTGCTGTAATATACATGCTCAGCACACACACACACACACACACACACACAGACACCCGTCCCCAAAAAGGAGAAAAGAGAGTGTATTTACAAGTTACTTCCAATGTTTTTTTTATTTCCAGAGAACAGCTTTGGTGTTTTCATACTATATGTAATTAGTGGGTTGGCAAGTCTTTTAAAACTAGGAAATCTTCCCCTTCAATCATCTTATGCCCCCCCCCTTTCCCCCAAAGTTGTGCCTTTCTCCCGACACGACCTTTATCGTCCAGGCTCTTACCAGCCTGTGTGTGTCCAGTGGGCGCCCCTGGCCTGGCGCCGCTCGGGCTCGGAGAACAAGGAAGCCAAGGTGCTCGGGCCCAGTGCCCGGCATAGAGCGGGCTCGCGGGTTGGCGAGGGCTGCCTTTGCATGAATCACTTCGGCACCTGTCTGTACCCCGGGTTTGGCTGGGTGTCGACAAGCTGCACCCCAGGGGAGGGTCAGGGCCCGGACAGACCCAGCAAGTCAGCGGTGGGAGGGAGGGCGGCGCTCGAGAGGGGCGGGGCCGGGGGCGTGGTCGGTGGGCTGGGGGCGGGGCCCTGGGGCGGGGGCGTGGTCGGCGGGCTGCGGGGCGGGGCCGGGCCTGAGGCGTGGGCGGCAGGCTGCGGGGCGGGGGCGGGGTCAGAGGCGGGGCTGGGGGCGGGGCCCGCGGAGGCCGCCCCTCGCCAGGCCCGGGCGGCTGCGCCACAGGAGGTCCCACAGGAGCGCTCCCGCCTCGCTCTCCAAGTCCGCCCGCTCGGCTCCGAGCTCGTCAGCATGTCGTTCGTGCCGGTGGCCGAGGACTCGGACTTCCCCGTCCACAACCTGCCCTACGGCGTCTTCTCCACCGCCGGCAACGTGAGCCGAGGGCGCGGGGGCTGGCGCGGCCCCTCCCCGGGACCCCGGGACCCTGAGAGCCCGGGGGGGAGGGGGAGGGGGGCGCTCTGCGCCGGCAGCGGGGCGGGCGCGGGCCCCAGGGGCCCCGCAGGGCTGCACGAGGGCTGAATGCAGCCGGGAGCCCCGGCTCGGCCTGTGACCCCAGGTGCCGGGGCCGGACCCTGGCCCGGGGGCGTGAACCCGCGCGGTGGTGCTGAGAGGCTGCGGGCCGGGGGCCCCCCGACAGCCGTTCCCAGCCTCCAGCCGCAGCCCCCCTCCGGGCAGAGCCCACCTGCACCCCGTGCTAATGACTAAGCCTGCAGCACCCCCAAATCAGCTTTTGCCGATCTGACACACCGATAGGTATGATGTTGATTCGTGACACCGACGGCTGTTGTTGGCCGTCGTCATTTGTCCGCTTGGCAGTCACGGGGCAGGAGGCCAGTGCCCCTGGCTGAAGGGTCAGCCCTTGCCTTGCGTGTGTTACACCTTCTTGCGGCCCCAGTGGAAAACCACTCGTGTGTCTGGCAGGGGGAAGGACATCTGTGACCAGGGGGCTTGCCAGCAAACGGGGGTGAGCCGGCCCCTGGCTGGGAAAACACATCCCTTGGGGTTTATTCGAGGTGATTTTGCTTAGAGGTCTGAGCTCCCAACTTGGGAGGGAAAGCGGAGAACCCCAGACTCCGCTTGCACCCCACCAGGCTCAGGAAGCTTTGCACAGGGCGCTGCTGCTGGCCAGCCCCTTCCTGGACAGTGGGTCCTCTTCCTCCAGGGTGACCCTCAGTGGGCCGCCCTGCAGCCTGTGCCTCTGTCTGGAGGACTGAACCGGTGGTCTCGCGACCTGGGGGCCCGCCCAGATGTTGCAAGGACACAGGAGGCGAACATGACCCGGGAGGGATGAAAATACAGTGGGAGGCGAGTTAAACCTTAACCCGGAGAGCCGCCCCTCTGCTGGCAGGCCCGCCCTCCGCACTCGCTGACACTTTGTCCCCAGCCGCCCTGTCCTCCCTGTGTCTGGGGGTGCAAATCGATGAGACGGGGACATTGGCCGAGGCAGGTGGGGTGCTGCGACTTGCTTTTCCACGGGACTCTGGAATGAGCGCCCCTGGGAGCATGGCTAGTGGTCTTCAGCCACAAGTCCCTTGGCAGTTTTCACGTGAGAATGTGCAGCGACAGCCGGGAGGGATGTATGGGAGGTACAGCCCCTTCCCACTGCTCTCGGAAGAGAGCTGCAAAGGGGACTTGGTCTCTGGCATTCCGGAGGCCCAGGCCTTCGGGCTTAACCTGGCGCCATCACTGCAGGCATTCCAGCCCATTGGGAGACACAGGGAGCTGGGGTTCAGTGCCAAGGACCCGTTCCTCTGTCCCTCCCCATAGAGCACTATCTACAGGACGACCCATGGGCTCTTAAGCAGACGGACTTTGTTGGTAAATGAGCCAAGCCCAGCTTTTCCCTGTGCTGACCATGCTGCCTTCCTCCCAGCCAAGACCGAGGATCGGCGTGGCCATTGGCAACCAGATCCTGGACCTCAGTGTCATTAAGCACCTGTTCACGGGGCCTGTCCTCTCCAAACACCAGGATGTCTTTGATCAGGTAGGACATCGTGACATGGCTTGACCTGGATGTCAGTGTCCCCGCAGAGCCGTTGCTACAGCCGGGGAGGAAGGGACAGCTGACCTGTGCCCTCTGTTGTCAGCCTGCAGTACACACCCCTGAGGGAGGGATGTGAACTCACCTCCCTGCAGAAGGTTGTGAGTTTCCTGTTCCTCCCACGGGTCAGGAGGGAGAGTGGCGTTCACTGAACACCTGTGCGCCAGGACTTTACACAACTCTCACCCAGTCCTCACACCCACCCTCTGGCGTAGGAATTGGAACCCTCGTTAGATAGAGGAGGACCTAATCTGAAACAAGACGTGACTCTTCCCAGGTCACGTGGCAGCGTGTTGGCGCTGGGGCTGCAACTCCAGCCTTCGGAATCCACGAGGGCTTTTTCCTGCCACGCTCCCTGGCTGAGAAACCGCTCAGCGTCTGGGGAGGGGGTCCGCACAGGCTGCGGTGACCTGCTCACGTGTGTGCCCCCACGGGAGGGACACAGCCACCTTCAGCCGCAGGCCAGGCCAGGCCGCAGCAGCAGCGTCCACATAGCAGCCCCCAGGCTTTGCCAGTTGTGTGCAAGTCCATGAGGGGCTGAGGCCCCTCAGGAAAGGTGACTGCTTTCCCCAACTTGACGAACAGATGACAGAGCTAAGAGCAAAAGTCTTGAGAGTTTCAGTGGCCTGAGGTGAGCGACAGGGTCCTGGAAGGCAGGCCAGCCTCTCCTGCGGACAGGAGGGGCACCGCCCAGCACTTCGCGGTGTGTGACCTTCGTTCTCCCCGTTCCAGCCGACCCTCAACAGCTTCATGGGCCTGGGTCCGGCTGCCTGGAAGGAGGCGAGGGCATTCTTGCAGAATTTACTGTCTGCCGGTCAAGCCAGGCTCAGAGACGACGCAGAGCTTCGGAAGCGGTGAGGGCTGTGGGCACCGTGGGTGGTAGCCGGGGTCGTTCTGAGTCACCCCAGGGCTGCCGTAGCTCCGTGGGCCCCTGTGCAGGCTGCGCCGGTGGGAGCGCGCTGGGCGGACTGCAGTCCCTGTGCCCCTGGCCCACGTCCTTCCTCGTCAGCGTCCTCTGGGTCCTTGTCTGGTCCCCAGAGTAGGAGCACTTTAGCTCGTTTCCTAGCGTGGGGCATAGACCCAGAGAGGAGGCATCTCAGCTTTAGTGGGTGGACCCCTCCCTCCCCGTTGTGGCCACCTCAGCACAGCTCTGGCCCAGGCCAGCCCGGCGGTGCTCCCTGGAGATCGGGTGGTCTGGGCTGAGCCTGCCTGCTGCGCCCCCGGAGCAGGGACCTGGATTCGCCACTCGCTTGATCTTGAAGCCCCTGGTTCTGTTTCAGAGCGTTCACCTCCCAGGCTTCCGCCACGATGCACCTTCCAGCTGCCATAGGTGAGTCTGCCTCGGGC